CATCTACACAAGAAAAACCCTATGGCAAGCATTATGCTTCATGGAGAGAAACTACAGGCTGAGTGTCCTTTGTCCAAAATGCTTAGGACTAGAAGTGTTTTGAATTTTTTATTTTTATTTTTTAATTTTGGAATATTTGCATACACATAATGAGATATCTTGAGGATGGAATCCAAGTCTAAACTTGAAATTTATTTAAATTTCATGTATGCCTGATACATATAGGCTTAAGGTAATTTTATGCAATATGTTTAATAATTTTGTGCACAAAACAAAGTTTGTGTTCATTGAACAGTCAGAAAGCAAAGGTGTCACTATCTCAGCCACCTATGTGGACAATCTGTGGTTGTTTGGCATCGCCATCAATCCTGACTTTGAATTTATATGCTTCTGATAAGCAATTATTTCCTTACACTCATTCACACATAAGAACTTAAGGAGTAAAACAATGTGACAAAGCATTGACACACCAAAACAGTAATGTGCACAACACACATAAGCAGCCCTGTAGCGTCACCGAACACCTGCATCGGCTGTTGAGCAATGGCAACAACGAACAACAGCAGGCTTTCGTCTCCTCCTACATTTTTCCAGGAAAAGATGAATTGCAGCTAAAGGAGGAGAAGGAGGCCTTTTTCCCATGAGGATGCTAAATAAACTGCTGTGCGACTGCATTTTGACTGTGACCCATCATAAGAGGACTGGTGTAGAATTTTACACTGTGGCATCATGTCAGTGCTCAAAAAGTTTCAGATTTTGTATCATTTCAGAACGTATATTTTTGGATTATGGACGCTCAACCCGTAACTGGTTTCCCACCAGGATGGGGAGCAAGGCCTGGATGCCCCTCTCCCCACTCTATTCACCAGTGTAGTGGGAGGCTTAGCTCATGAAATAAGGAAGCAATCGATTGGGAAGGAAGAAACAAAACTGTCTTTGTTTGCAGATGACATGATTACTTACCCAGAAAATCCCAAAGAATCAACAAAAAAAGCTTTTGGAACTCATAAGTGATTACAGCAAGGTTTACAGGATTCGAGGTTAATATACCAGTAGTATACTACTATCTCAGAAATTTGTTGGAGTTTTAATCTGGGAGAAGAGAAAGTCATTTGGAACTTTCACAGCTTCACTAAATAGGTTTTAGAAAAATAGTCTCTTCATTTTCAAGGAGAATTGTGATTTCTGTGGGTTTTGGTCAGTCAGGACCGCAGATGGGCTGTGTTAGAATCGGCTGGGAAGTGTAGCGTTTACTGGGCCCAACCATAAGAGAGCGGGATTGAATAGCTTTGAGGGTGAGCTTTGCAATGGGTGTTTTTGTAACAAGCCGGGCAATTCTAGAATCTGATGCACTCACCATATGAAAATGCACATTCCAAAGGAATTTGATGAAAAGTTTCAGGAATTCTGATTGCCTCAAACCCCAAGAGGCCCAGGGTTTCATTTTACCACATTGATAAAGATTACAGAGATGAAATAGTTTTGCCATCCTTTGGTTGAAGAAACATGACATAGAAAGTGCTCATATGTCATATAAATTATTTCTATCAAATATTTTGGTAAGATTAGTTGTATCATCATATTTATAAATCCATTTTACAGTATCCTTTCCTATAAAGTTTTGATAGCAGCCACAGAAGGACCAAAATATGTTTTTGGGTCTCATCATATTTCCTGAAGATGAATCCTATGGTGATATTTGCCAGCTTTTCAAATATATCTCCAAGGTGAATATGTTCAGTGGCATAAAGGGGATCTTAAAAAATTGTTTATAGTCAAAGTTTTCTTAGAGAAGCTGTTACCCAGTACATATGACTTCATTAGTCAGAATTTCTCCATAATCACCCTAAGTTTCTTAATATTTTGAACCAAAGATCCATTTGAGAATTTGAGGAGAGACTTGGAACTTTCTTACCAGACAGTTAAGCACATTTAAATGAAATAACAGTTTCCATATATTTTTAGGGAATCTACAGACATCCCCAAAAGCTCCTTAAATCCACAGATTTCAGTTTAAAACATCCTGATCTGAGATATGTGGTATTTATACCAATTTATAATTCAATGGGACTTTATATGTTTTCCAAGTACCTGTACAAAATGAAATTCATGCACTAGATAAGCAAACATTTAAACGACTCATATCCTTAGAACAGCTGTAAGTAATAGAAATGTTTTTATTGAATTACCGATGGTTACATTTCAAATAGAAAGCTTTGTAAATGCCGTTATGTAGATAGTTGAACAATTATTTTAAGCTTTGTCATACATCTTGAATGGTTGAATATTCTGTCATCAGTTGGATAAAAATCAGAACATGGGATCAAATTGGCATGAAGACAGGAAGACAGACAGAGCTCAGCTGGAATTCTAGGTCTGCATTTATTAATTGTGTGACATTGGGCAAGTTACCCTCCATGAACCATTGTTTCCAGATCTGTGAAATGCAGACATTACTGCTGTGAGTCTTAAGATATTGCATGCAAAAAGACTAGTTTATTACTTGACTCAAAATAGGCATTTTATGGAGGGTAATTTATAGTTGTGATTATTATTAATTTATGAAACAAATTCAAACTTTTAACTGATTCAGTAACTTCTAGAACATGGTATCTAACCTCTCATTTTAAAGATAAAAAAATTCCAATGTTAATTAAATAGTTTGCGCATGTCCCCATCAGATCTGAACTCCATTGACATCCATATAGACTGAAATTCATCTCGCCACCCAATATCTATACGTTCATGCATGAATGCAATTATATTTTTCTCTCAAGATCTCTGTCTGACAATACTCAAATAGATATTTGAAGATTTTTTTCCCATTGGACATCTCTTGAAGTTCGCTTACTGTTTGTTTATTTCTTTTTATTCAGCATATTATGCGGGTACCTGTTATACATATATTGCCCACCGAATACTATTGCCCTCCCTTTCGAGTCAGATGCTTCAAGCGTGTGTTTAAACGTTCACATCTCACTCTGATTGTGGTTGTACACCCTCCCCCCCCTCCCACCTGCCCAACACCGATATACATGATTCCATGCCTATCTTAGGTTTGATCAGTTATACCAATTTGCTGGTGAGTACATGTGTGCTCCTGTTTCCATCTGGATACATTCACTTAGTAAATGTTCAGCTCGTGCCCAGGAAAATACAATGAGAGCGATGACCAACATTGTTTCTTAAAGTGAATAGTACTCCATGTCATTTTATTATCCACTATGAATTGATGGGCCACTCTGGTGGGTTGTTTTCTACATTTTTGCATTGTAAATTTGCTCTGTGTAACATTCAATGTGTAGGTATCTTTTTCATAGAGTGATTTTTGTTCTTTTGGGTAGATCTAGTAAGGGATTGCTGGATAATGTAGATCCACTTGTATCCGTTTAAGGATCTCCATATTGCTTTCCACAGAGGCTGAAGTAGTTTGCAGTCCCACCAGCAGTGTAGGAGTGTTCCTCTCTCTCCGCATCCACACCAACATTTATTGTTTTGGGACTTTTTGATAAGGGCCATTCTTACTAGAGATAAGTGATATCTCATTGTGGTTTTGGTTTGTATTTCCCTGATGATTAGAGATGTTGAACATTTTTTCATATATTGTTGACCTACAGGATATTTCTTATGCTCAGATATGTGGAGTGTGCTTTAATTTTAACTGCAAGTAGGATTTCTACATATGAAAAGTCTTTGACTCCCAACTTTGTTTTCATCTTTAATGCGGATGCTTAATTTCAAAAAACTTATTATTATTTCTATAATAAACATGCTTAGAGAAAACTAGATTTATTTCTCCTAGAAGGCCAAAGTGTTAAGTTATAGTATTAAAATATGATCAACCAATCAAGAATATTTTTTTGAAATTGTCATTGCTCTACTTCTCCCTCTTATTAATTTTTCTTTTATGTGACTGCTATGGTTTGAAACTCATGTTGACATTTAATTGCCATTGTAGCAGTATTCAGAGGTGGAGCCCTTAAGAGGTGACTAGTTCATGAAGGCTCCACCCTCATGAAAAGATTAAGGCCATTATTGTAGGAGTGTGCTCCTTGTGGGACTGAGTTCTTTGCAAAAAGACAAATTCAGCTCCTCTTGCTCTCTCTTGCCCTGTCTTTGCCCTTCTGCCATGGGAAGATGCAGCAGGGAGGTCATTGAAACATGCTGGGCCCCAATCTTGGATTTGCCAGACTCCAGCACTTTGAGCCAATGAATTTCTGTTTATTATCAGTTACGTAGTCTGTGGTATTCTGTTATAACAGCAGAAAACAAACTAAGACAGAGAATTGGTACCAGAGAGTGGGTGTTTCTCTAAAAGTACCTGAACATTTGTAAGTAGCTTTGGATCTGGATCACGGGTAGAGGCTGGAACAATTTGGAGGAACAGACTAGAAAAAGCCTGATTGCCACAAGTGGAGCTTGAAGGGCGATTCTTGGGAGGGCTCAGAAGAAGAAGAGAGCTGTGGGGAAAATCTGAAACTTCTTAGTGATTTCTTATGTGGTTATGATCAGAATCTTGGTAAAAATATGAACAGAAAAGGTAATTCTGGTGAGATCTCAGACAGAAATGAAGAACAAAGTAATGGAAACTAGAATAAAGGCCATACTTATTGTAAAGTGACAAAGAACTTGGCTGAATTGTGTTCATACCGAAGGGTTTTGTGGGAGGCAGAATTTAAAAGAATGAACTAGGATATCTTGTGGAAGAAATTTGTAAGCCAAATATTGAAAGAACACCATGGCTTCTTTTAACTGCTTACAGTAAGATGTGAGAGATGGGAAATAATTTAAAGATGAAATTTATAATTGAAAGGGGAACAGAATATAAAAATTCACAGCCTGGTCATACAAAGAACAGTGCAGGTGTGTGCAGCCATGAGATGCTTTGATAAAAGAACTAGCATGGACAGAAGGAAGCCAGGTGATATTTATTAAGACAATGGGAGAATGACCTCAGAGTCAGAGATCTTTGAGGCAAGCTCTAGAGAGTGGTCCAGGGGATGCAAGGGATATCAGCATTTGCTTCCCTGCACTGTTTCAAGTCTCTGCTCCCCAGATTCCGTGCAGCACCCTCAGCCACCCCAGTTGCGGTTCGAGCAGGCTCAGGTGCAGCCTGTGCCGCTGCTTCAGAGCATGCAGCGGTAGACCTTGGTGGCAGATTTATGCTTTGATGTATATTTGTAATCCCCACACAAAGTCTTTAAACTCAATGGTAAGTAACATCTTTACAAAGCATATTTTATACCATTGTTTATAGAGTTCAGAGATTTGTAAACAGTTCAATTCACTATAATAAAACAGCTCTCAATACATCTTTCAAGTAACATGCTGAGATTTATGTTTTCAATGTGTATATATAAACTTATTAAATCAGGTATTAAAGTCAATGGTAAAGAACATATTTAAAAAGCACATTATATACACTTGTTTACAAAGTTTACAGAATGGCAAGCAGTTCAATTCACTCTAATAAAGAGTGAATGTGATTTCAACAAACATGCTGAGATTCATTCATCTTTTAGATGTGTATATGTAAACTTCTCACATTATGGCTATGAATACAATGGTAAGGAACATCTTTGAAAAGCATATTTTAAACACATGGTTAAAAAGTTCACAATCTGTGAAACAGTTCAATTTACTCCAATAAAGTGGCTCATAATGCATATTTGAAGTGACATTCTCAGATTTGTTTTCAATGTGTGTATACAAAATCCCTCACAATAAAGCAATAAACTAAATGGTAACCATAACATCTAAAACACATACTTTGTATACTTATAGAATTCATAGTTTGGTACTACTTCTGTAGATGCACAGCGTGCATAGGCTGTGGGGCCGTAGTGACCTTGTCAAAAGATGTCTCAGACAACGCAGAGGCCCAGGCAGAGACTTGCTGCAGAGGTGGAGCCACTGCAGAGAGCCCCCCCAGGGCAATGCCCAGCAGAGCCATAGCAGCGGGGCTGCCACCAAGACCCCAGAACTGTAGAGCTACCAGTGTGCAACGTCTGCCGAGGAGAGCTGCAGGCGCTGAGCTCCAGCTGGGGGAGCCTTGGTGGGCTGGGCCTCAGCGGCGACCGCCCAGGTCCTTGGGAGCCCAACCCCTGCCCCAGTGTGTCCAGGAGGCAGAACCTGGAGCCCAGGAAGATGGTTCTGAAGCCTCAACATTTTATATTGTTCATCCTGTCAGGTTTTGGACTTACTTGGGAGCAGCTATCCCTTTTTTCTTGCCTATTTTTCCATTTTGGAATGGGAATGTCAATCCTATGCCTATCCTACCATTGTATTTTGGAAACATGTAACTTGCTTTGATTTCACAGGCTCACAGCTGTTGGGGAATTTGCCTCAGGATGAATCATGCCTTGCGTCTCACCCATATCTGATTTAGAAGAGACTTTGGACTTTGGACTTTTGAGTTGATGCTGGAACAATTTAAGACTTTTGGGAATGTGGGGATGAAATAAATGCATTTTGTATGTGAGAAGGACATGAGTTTTGGGAGACCAGAGGCAGAATGCAATGGTTTGAATGTGTGTTTCCTCCCAAATTCATGTTGAAATTTAATTGCCATTGTAGCAGTTTTAAGAGGTCAGATCTTTAAAAGGAAATTAGGCCAGGAAGGCTCTGCCCTCATGAATACATTAGTGCTATTATCATGGGAGTGAGCTCCTTATCTTGGGAGTGGTTTCCTTACAAAAGGACATGTTTGCCCCCCTTTTAGCTCTTTCTCACCCTCTCTTTTCCCTTCAGCAGTGGATGGCACAGCAGGAAGGCCTTTGCCAGAAGCCAGCTCTCTGTCTCGGGCTTCCAGGCTGCAGAACCATGAGCCAATACATTTCTGCTCATTCTAAATTCCTCAGACTGTGGTGTTCCGTCATAGCAGCACAAAACAGACTGAGACAATGACAGATAAGCTATCACTGTGATAAAGTATGTTTTTTCCTCTTTTCCTTTATTATTTTAAACTGGGTAGTGTTTCAGGTAATTTTTACTATTAAATATATTGCAGAATCATCACATAAATCTATCAAGTATACCTTTTTTAATAACAACAACAGAGAAAACCCTTAGCACTGTGATATTTTTTACATCAAATATTTACAGGTGGCTTATACAAATTAGCATATGGAAAGTTCTAATTCCCATTTAAAATGCACATAACTCTCAGCTGTAAATGCTTTATATTCTGGTAGTAATTACTGGTCTTGCTAATATTGAGTAATCCTAATGTTTAAAGCCAAGAAAACAAGCATTTTTGCTTTCTATTTTTAAAGTGATTCCATGATTTTGTGAATCACTACTCAAAGAGAATTTTTGGTACCCAAATATATAATCTCTAATCCTTGAAATTTTTAATAATTTTAATCATAGCTCTGAAAGTTAATTTTATTTCAGTATGTCTCTACAAAGCTATGGCAGAGCTTGAGGTCTCCAAGATATTTGTTCTTTAAGAACTATTTATATTGCCCTTATTTTAATGATTCTTATTGTACATAATCCTTTTTGGATTCAATTTATTTTTGAGGAAGGCAGGGATACATGATAGATGTTTATACAGGCTTCCAAAATGGTAGGGTGTAGAAATGCCAGTCCTGACTCTGACATGATTGCTCACAGTCAGTAAAAAAGTAAATGTTTTGGTTTTGCTATGGTCTTCATGACACAGCCTTTCATCCCAAACAGTGGCGTTGGGAGGTGAGGAAGGATATCAAAGAAGGATTTCTTAGCCTCATTCTTTTTTTGATTTGTTTGTTGCATAAAAATTGGACAAACTACATTCTGTGTCAAGGATAAATGTTCTCTTTATGTGCCATTAGGTTATTTTTTATATGTTCACTACATCAAGAGAAATTTGGTAATTAAACACAACAAAGTCATAGACAAACACACAAATGTTATTTTAAGCATCAGTGAGGCTTAGATATTTCTGAAGAATAATTTGATATTATATTGATTGTGTCGATCAGTAGGTAGCACAGGGAGGAGTAATTATGTTTGTAAGAATTATAATAATTGAGTTTTTATGTAAGAAGATAGATGATCACATGTTAGGAGAGTTTGTATATAATGAATTTCACCAAAGGTAAAGACCGTTCTCTTAGGTATAATTTTCTCTTTTTTACATACATATCTTTTCAGCTGAACCTTTTCCACTCTACAAATGATGCAGATGACTCTTTAATGATTCCACTTTTCAGAACAAGAGTGATTGGTACATTCTTAGAAAGTGCAGTTTAATAATTCTTGTATTAATCAATCATCCTGCTTTCAGTTATTCTTCTTCATCTGAAATTTCTGCCCTTATTCTGCTGATGCAGCTGGTGTATTTTCATTGATTATATTTTTTTTGACAATTGATTTTTCTTTATTCACCTACTTAATAGGCACTAAATATCTCTTTTAGTGAAAATTATATCTTCTAGTCATATTCCTCATGTGACTATTGAACTGGAAGCGTTATTATACACTTTGCCTAGTCATTATATTTCAGCTTACATTTCCTCTTCACTGTGTAACCTTATATTTCTTATTTTGCCTTCTCTTTAGATGTTACTTACTTATAAGTGGAGTATTTTTATCTAGAGCATCTTTATTAGATAGCAGCAAGCTTCCATAGCTGAATGAAACTGTGACATATTGCTCCATATCTTAAATATAGATTTTTTATTTCATTATCTACTGCATTTATGGAAAGAGGCAGAGAAGTGTCACTGAGCATAAAGTCGTAGAAATCAGACAGACCTGAGTTTAATCTGAGTGAAAGTTTGGAGCTTAGCTATTTGTCATTGAGAATCTCACATTAAAATTCTAAACCTTAGTTTCCTTTTATTGTTTTTAAAATGAAAATAATAGTAGTGATTTGCTAGGCTGGCCCTGAGATCTATGGATAATATATGTGAAATAACTGGCAAGAGTAGATCCTGAAATAATAATACCTATTATTTTTGTTACTATACTTTTTATTTTGTTATTATTTTAACAATTATTTTCTGCCCAACTTTTAAGACACAGTTAATTTTAAATGGTATATTTTAAAATACAAAATTAAATTTAGCCAGTGATACAAAGTATCATTAATTTAATTTCTTTGACCTTTATTGATCTACTTAGTTTATTTTAAAGGACCTTCTAATTTTATTTCTTAGTATAAGCCATAGTGGCTATAGATGCTAAACAATTTAATCTTTTTAAATTCTGAATATTCAGAATTATAATGTTAATATTTCAAAGGTTTTATTGGAAGCATCTTATTTTTTGTCGAAAACCTCATTATAATTCTTTAGGAATATGTTAATAAAGTTGCAGGAAGTAGAAAAAATAGCATGTGCTTTTAGATTCATAGATAGTTTTAAAATGCAAAAATTCTGACTAGCACAAAGGAGTATATGGGCAAACCTTCTTTTGCTCATTCATTGCCTGAAAGTCCTGCATTAGAGCCATTCTGGGCTCATCCAAATTGTCAACACCTGTGGTCCCCACCCCCAGCCGAGGATCCATAAGATCTGTGACTTGTTAGGAACCGAGTGACACAGCAGGAGGTGAGCAGTGGGTGAGCAAGCAAAGGTTCATGTGGATTTACAACCTCTCCCCATCACTGCATCACCGCCTGAGCTCCACCTCCTGTCAGATCTGCGGTGGCATTAGATTCTCACAGGAGCGTGCACCTTATGGTAAACTGTGCATGCGAGGGACCTAAGGTGCAGCTCTTTATGAGACTCTGATGCCTGATCATCTGAGGTGGAGCTGAGGCAGTGAGGCTAGCGTTGGGGAGTGGCTGCAAATACAAATTGTCATTAGCAGCGAGGTTTGACTACACAATAAATGTAATATGCTTGAATCATCCCTAAACCATCCCCTCCCCAACCCAATCTTCCATGAAACTGGTCCCTGGTGCCAGAAAGGTCAGGGACTGGCTGGTCAACACCGTTCATCCAAAGACCACCAAGAATACACCTGTAGTTATGCAAGTTTGGTGTGTCACTCACTGCAGCAAAGGGGTATTCATGCCTGGGAACTGTGGGGAGTGCTAGCCAGAGGGTGTCCGAGAGAACATATTATAGACTTTAGGTTTTGGCTGGGTGATTGGAAGGGGGCTAAGGAAACAGAGATTCTCTAGATTGGATGATAGTTGTGCATCTTAAATGTTATTTATAGGGAGGGGAGACTAGAATGAGGATAAAGGCAAAATTGGTAAGAGGTAGCATTCACTCCATTCAGCCAGAAGAAGAGAGTGATTGGTATTTTGTGGGTGGCACAATGCCTTCATTTTGGCAGGTTATAACAAATTACTGTAGACTGGGTGACAAAAACAACATGCATTCCTTTCTCACTGTTCTGGAAGCAGGGAGGTCCAAGATAAGGGAGGCAGATCTGAAGTTTGGCAAGGGCTCACTCCCTGGTTTGCACATGGCCATCTTCTCTCCCACATCCTCAGATGGATGACAGAGACCAGAGAGAGATCTCCTGTCTGTTTTCTTCTTTTTGTAAGGGCATTAATCCCATGACAAGAGCCCTATCCTCATAATCTAATCTAATTCTAATTACTTCCCAAAGGCCCCATCTCCAAATACTATCAACTTGGGGATGAAGATTTCAACATATGAACTTTAGTGAAACATAAATATTCAGTCTATACTATATAATAACCTTGGTTTTGTCTTTGTTGAGACAAAATTATTTAGTAACCTTGTTTTGTCTCATTTTATCATGGTCTCAGGGTAACCTCTGAGGCTGGAGTGTCAAACCCATTTCTAAATGTCAGGACTAATCTTTTTTTCCCTTTCTCAAAATAAAATAGAGCCCCAAATTCAAAATAAAACATAGACTACTAAGATTGTAAATATTCTTTACCAAAGACTTTATTTAAAGTAGTCTTTCCATCATGGTGACTAGTAACTTATTATCAGTACAAAAAACATCTTTGATGTATAACATCTGGACAGTTTTCATTGAATTACAAAACAGAAACCAACTTCTGCTTTTGAACATGATGAAATAGGAGAGACCAAATTTATATTCTTCTTCAAAAAACTAAGAAAAACAAAACATATGAAATAGCAATTTTCAGACATTGGAGAGCAGACAGTGAAGGGCTGTGGTTCATGACAGAACAGACACTCGAGGTGATCTCTGCAGTGGTTCTTGTTTGCTGCCTGGGGGCTGTTTCCAGGCTGAAGTGCAGAGAAGGTGCACAACCAGACACTGGCAGGCTTGCAGAGTTGAGGAACCAGAGGTTGGAGTTTCGGGAGCCTAGTGTGGAGAACAGGGAGCTACACAGAGAGACCACAAGAGATCTGCAAAAATTCTAACAACATGGATGGATTTTAGATGCCTTATGCAGAGTGAAAGCAAAATTTCACAGTGTCTGATTACATACGAAATTCTATAATAGGAAAGACCAAACTATAATGACAGAAAGCTGACCAGTGGTTTTCTGGGGCCAGGGCTGGGGGCATGGAATTGGCTGCAAAAATCAGGCAAGCATTATTTGGTATCATGGAAATGTTCTATGTCATGATTATATCTATTTATCATATGATGTATACATTTGTCACAGCTAATTTATCTGTGTATGTAAAACTGGTGAATTGTTATTGTATGTAAATTATACTTCAATAAAGCTGACTTAAAAAAACCAAGACAAATCAGTATTTCATTATTATTCACCAGATATTTCCATGAATTTATCCCTATGTTTGTTTTTGTGAACTAAATCTATGACTTATACTGATTTATAGTAATCTTAAAGACAGATAGTAAAATTTCTCCAACTTCGATTTCTTATTAAAAATTGTTTATATTCTCATATATATTTCAGAATTAGCTTGCTCATTTCTAATCATCCCCCCCACTCCAAAAAGAAAAAAAGCCCTCTGAATTCTGATTGGAATTACTTGAATCTATGCATCAATTTGTTGGAAATTCTCTCACCAAACATACTATAAAATGTATTCAGAGCAGAAAAATGAAAGGTTATTTTTTGGTAGAATTACATCAAAACAAAACTTTCGTCATCTAAATTGTTTGGGTAAAATCAAGGCATTTTTTGGCTGGAAACAGCATCAGTGTATCTTGGGTCAAACAGCTGGGGTATCCTTCCCGGGACCCGAGATATTGAGGGCTGCTGCGCAGTTATGAGGCGCTGCAACTTGACCTTCTTTCTTGAGCGTCAGTAAAAGTCAATTTTTAAGCACCTTTCTAGGACTAGTTCTGTTTTGCATGATTTAATTTTGTCATTCCAGCTGGCTTTGTGACAAGTTTGAGATACATTTGATGAGAAAATCGTACCACAGCATTCTCTGTCGCGAACTTTCGGGAGCATCCCGTTCTGGGGCTGGGCTGGGCTGCAGCGCCAGGCGGGGGACGGGCGTGCGGGGCCTTTCCCGTCCGTTCCGCCGCCTTCCTTGCTGACACACGCCCGCGAGCCCAGCCCGCAGCCGCTCTTTTGGGGCAGCGACAAAAAAACAGTCTGAGCCTTCCCGTCTCTGGCGCGATTCCAGGTAACAGCTGTAGGACGTAAGAACAGTCCTGGACTTGAACATGCCACAGTTCGCCGCACTCCGTAGAGTGTTTAAGACACAAGTCCCGTGATACCCCTGCGCTCCAGGTTCCGAGAGCAACTCCGCCCGCGGCGCGGGCGCGGCCGCGGGCGCGCGCAGGCGGGGGCGGCGGGCGCGGCGCGGCGGCCGGGGCGCGGCGCGCGGCCGCGGGCGGCGGGGCGCGCGCGGCCGGCGCGCGGGCGGCGGGCGCGGCGGCGGCGGCGGGCGCGGGCGGCGGCGTCGGGGCGCGGGGGGGCGGGCACGGCGCGGGCGGGCGGCGCGCGCGGCGGGGGCGGGGGGCGGCGGGGCGCGGCCGGCGCGGGCGGGGCAGGCGGCGGCGGCGGCGGTCGGGGCGGCGGGCGGGCGGCGGCGGCGGGGAGCGCGCGGCGCGGGGCTGCACCCCGCGCGCACGCGAGTAGGCTTGGCGCGTCAACGGAGCCCGCGCTCGCTGCCCCCTGGTAAGCTCTCAACTGAAACGGCTGGAAGGAGAGCGAAACAGTACGGCCTCAGAAGCATTCTGAAGCGACCATATAACCCGTTCTGCAATAATCGGCCTTGGTGTTGGGCAAATTGGGTTTGCAATTTCCTTTCTAACTTCTTGAGGACATCGAGGCGGCAGGCTCCTGCGCGCCTTTCGATGCGAGGCGCGGCCCGCCCGAGCGGAGCTTAGGTCGTCATTTCGGTCACGTCACGTCAGTGCACGCGGGCCGCCCAGACCGGGGAGGACTCGGCGCGCGAGCCTGGCGCCTAGGAAGCTCCCGGAGAGTCCGAGCGTGCGTCAGCTAAGCCGCGTCTCCACCTGACGGTGTCGCATGTCCCGGAGACTGCCCAAGTCTTGTCTGGACTTGCCGTTCCCGCGCGGTCACGGCCCCGCGCCGACGCCGTCACGGCAGTGCGAGCGCGTGTGGCCCGCCACCGTGTCCGCGGCATGAAGCGCGGCAGGACCCACTAAATAGCGCGCACACGGTTAAACCGGAGCTTAATGGTTTTATGAACACCCGGTCCAGGTTTTAAGAAGTGGAACCAGACAACGCGCTCGTCCGCCGCGGCTCCTTCCGCCCTCCTCCCCGCCGCGCCCGACCTCGGACGACGCCCGTCGCGCTGTGGACAAGCGGATCGCGTGTCGCCTTGCCCCATACGCCTTGAGCAGCAGGGAGTTCGTGATCGCATCATCAAGAGACGAAGAGCCAAAAGTAAGATACACCCCGTTTCATATTAAAACGCCACTTGGGATATGAGACAGCCCGCGCAGCGCCTGTCCCAGGTCGTCGGGACCGTCGGCTGTCTCGCGCGTGCGGGCGCTGCCGCTGCCTGCCGCCGCCTTCCCCCACGCGCCTCTCCCGCCCACACCTTTCGCCCCACAGCGAAAAGCCTCCCCCACGGCGCTCCTCCCACGCGTCGTCTCCACGCGCTTCCCCACCAGCCACGCCGCGCCTGTCCCACGCCCTTCCCCCCACCACGCTTCCCCAGGCGCTCTCGCCTCCCCACACGCGCCCTGCCCCCACCACGCGCTCCCCACGCCGCTCCCCCACGCGCCTTCCCCCACGCGCCTCCCCACACGGTTCCCCCATACGGACTCCATCGCTTCGACCCCCACTCGCGCTTCCACGCGCCTCCTCCACGGCTCGCCTGCCGCTTTCCCATAGGTGCCGTTTCCTCAGCACAGCGGCCCACTCCGCGCCCGTTCCCGCCAGGCCTGCGTTCCTCCTCCTCCTCTGTTTCGTTAAGGCATTAACTTACTACTGTAACAAAAACAAGCAAACTGACTTAAGCAAGAAGGGAACTCATAATCTAGATGTAGACTTATTAAAAAAGAGAGAGAGAGAAAGACAACCCCGCGCAAGGTTTCTCTCTCCCCATTTCTGAGTCCTGTATGGTTAGTGTTCGTTTCATTCTCAGGCTTTATAACTATATAAAGTTGCTTCAGCTGCAGCCTCCTCAATTTTTTCCCATTTGTGCTTGTGAAAAAAGACTAGTTCCCAAATAGGTAAGAAAATTCTAAGACGCGAGACTCTTCGGGCCTGGCTGGATTGGCCTAGGTGGTCAGGCCCGACTCCCATGGCTGTAGCCAGGGGTCCGAATGCTCTGGTCCGTCTGGACTCAATGGCTTGTTCCACCCCTGACGCCCAGGCTGCAGTCAGCTCTGCCCGGGTCCCAGGCGCTGACCGGGGCACTAGTTGTAGCCACAAGGGCAGGGAGTGGAGGCCGCAGGGTGAAACAGCAAATGTCACTCTGCCTTTCCTGTGAGGTCTCTAAGGACTAAATTTCCTTTTAAAGGAAAAAAGAGAGGAAAGGAGAGAGGAAGGAGGAAAAGAAAGAAGAAAAAGAAGTCTACATCAGTGCTTCTCAAACTTCAGCCAGCACGTGTATCACAAGGTGATATTTTTAAGGTGACGATTCTGATTCAGAAGTTGTAGGGCAGAGCCAAGTTCCTGCTTTGGGAACCGGCCTGTGACGACGCTGGTGCTGTTCTGGGAGTGGGAGGCCACACTCTAAACTGCAAGGTGCCTAACGTTTGTTTGTTTTTGGTTTTGGTTTTTTTTTTTGAGACAGCCTCACTCTGTTGCCCAGGCTAGAGTGCCGTGGCATCAGCCTACTGACAGCAACCTCAAACTCCTGGGCTCAAGTGATCCTTCTCCCTCAGCCTCCCAAGTAGCTGCAACTATAGGCACA